GGATGAGGAGATGGCTCAGGGTGGACACTGGCAGCTGGTTACTTCTGGCAGCAGGCACTGCTCCATCCCTGCTCCGAACCCTCCCGCTGTGGTACTAGGAAATCGTTATGCTCCTCTTTATACAGGAGATAAGGAATCACCCCCTACAACAGAGGAAGAGAAGCCTCGTACCCCCAAGGCTGGGAGGTCTGCTGCCACCACTGCAAATAGGAAACGTAGGGTAGTGGTGGTCAGAGACTCTCTTCTGAGGGGACGGACGCACCCATCTGTCGCCCTGACATTTCATCTCAGGAGGTATGCTGTCTGCCGGGGGCCTGTATCTGAAATGTTACGGAGACATTGTCGATGATTATCCGGCCCTCTGACTACTACTCCGTGCTACTCATCCATGTGGGCACTATTGATACTGCGAGGTGTGACACTGAGCGGATCAAGAGTGACTACAGGGCTCTGGGAGTATGGGTGAAGGAGTTTGGAGCGCAGGTGGTGTTCTCTTCGATCCTTCCTGTCGAAGGTAGGGGCCCGGGCAGAGACAGGTGCATCCTGGAGGTCTATGCCTGGCTGCGAGAATGGTGTCGCCAGGAGACAACCATTGGATGCTATTCCAGGAAGGACTGCTGGGTAGAGATGGCATTCACCTTTTGAGGAGGGGAAAGACCCTATTTGGACACAGACTGGCTAACCTAGTGTAGAGGGCTTTATTCTAGGTTAGACGGGGACAGGTGAGCAAAGCCCACAGGTAAGTGGAGAACATGGAGACCTGGGAGATGGGTCGGAAATGGGAGGGAGCGTGGGCTACAATGGCAGAGAGAAAGGATGGTCAGGGCAAAATTGGGGGGCAAGGTCAAATCAGGATCTTAGATGCCTATATACAAATGCGAGAAGTATGGGAAATAAGCAGGAAGAACTGGAAGTGCTAATAAATAAGTACAATTATTGACATTGTTGGTATCACGCAGCTGAAACTGAAACTGCAGTCACCCGAAATCAGAATCAGAATTTAACAAACAAAATTCAAACAGTCGAGCAAACTCACTCACACCAAAAGTGAGTACTCTCACCAAGTAGCCTGTTCAGCAGCGGGATCTCTTGCGGTCCCTCTCAAACTCCCCTGTCTGTAGCTCCTGTCCGCTAATGAATGGAAGATAGCTAACGTGTCACCAATATTTTAAAAGGGGTCTAGAGCTAATCCTGGCAATTACAGACCAGTAAGTGTAATGTCAATGCTAGGCATATTAGTTGAAACTATAGTAAATAATAAAATTGTTAGACACATAGATGGACATAATTTGTTGGGGAAAAGTCAACCTGGTTTCTGTAAAGGGAAATCATGCCTTACTAATTTACTAGAGTTCTTTTAGGGGGTCAACAAACATGTGGACAAGGGGGATCCAGTGAATATAGTGTACTTAGATTTCCAGAAAGCCTTTGACAAGATCACTCGCCAAAGGCTTTTAAGTAAGTTGTCATGAGATAAGAGGGAAGGTCCTTTCATGGATTGATAACTGGTTAAAGGACAGGAAACAAAGGGTAGGAATAAATGGTCAGTCTTCAGAATGGAGAGAGGTAACTAGTGGTGTCCCCTAAGGGTTCGTACTGGGACCAATTCTATTCAATCTACTTATAAATGATCTTCTAGAGAAAGGGGTAAATAGCGAGGTGGCAAAATTTGCAGAGACCACCAACCTGCTCAAGACTAATTTAGCTATAAACCACTCAAGAGAGAGATCTTGTAGTCATTGTGGATAGTTCTCTGAAAACATCCATTCAATGTGCAGCGACAGTCAAAAAAGCAAATAGAATGTTAGGAATCATTTAAAAAGGGATAGAGAATAAGACAGAGAATATCTCATTGCCTCTGCATAAATCCATGGCACGCCCACATCTTGAATACTGCATACAGATGTGGTCGACTCATCTAAAAAAAAAAAAAGATATATTGGCATTGGAAAAGGTTCAGAAAAAGGCAATAAAAATAATTAGGGGTTAGGAATGGGTGCAGTATGAAGAGAGGTTGAAAAGACTGGGACTTTTCAGCTTAGAAAAGAGTAGACTAAGGGGGGATATGATAAAGGTCTATAAAATCATGACTGGTATGGAAGATGTGAATAAGGAAAAGTTATTTACTTGTTCTCATAACACAAGAACTAGGGGAGAACTAAAGTAACAGGTAACAGGTTTACAACAAACAACAGGAAGTTTTTCTTCATGCAGTGCATAGTCAACCTGTGGAATTCCTGGCCAGAGGATGTTGTGAAGACCAGGACTTTAACAAGGTTAAAAAAAGAGCTAGATAAATTCATGGACGTTAGGTCCATCAATGGCTATTAGTAAGGACGGGTAGGAATGGTGTCCCTAGCCTCTGTTTGTCAGAGGCTGGAAAGGGATGACAGGAGAGGAATCACTTGATGATTCCCTGTTCTGTTCACTCCCTCTGGAGCATCTGGCATTGGCCACTCTCGGAAGACAGGATACTGGGCTAGATGGACCTTTGGACTGACCCAGTATGGCTGTTCTTACATTCTTTAATGTTCCTTAAAAATAAAACTCCAATACATCACAATGCCAAGAGGCACCTCAAATCTCTCTATATATGCTACAAAAACTAGCATGCATGATTGAGGTAAAGCCTTTGGTCAGGAAACAGATTTCCATCGGACATCTCCAAGGAGTTATAACAACAGTGAGGGAAAAATATTTAAATTCTGAAAATAACCTTTAGATAATCTTTTTAAACAATCTAGAAAAGGTGATAGCATGATAAGTCATTGGTGGATAACAGAGATTAGCAAACCAAGCAATGTGGAAGTTCATCTGTAGCCCATAACGCTGGCCCAAAGTTCGAATTTGCAAAATTGAGTCTGCTTTTCTAGGTATGGAATCTGAATCTGTTAGGAATGTTAAAATGCATTTACACAAGTAAACATGTAACCACTGAAAATTTCAATCTTTACACTTGGGCATGGGCACTCCTGCCTGTCTCCTTCCCACTGTGCAACATGCTACGGGGAGCAGGGGAGGAGGGGGAGACAAGAGTGCTGCATATAGGCTCATCAGTTAATCATGTACATTGTTACACTTTCACATTTCTAGTCTGTGTCTTCATGAGCAGCCTCTTCTCCCTGAAGCCAGCCCTATCCTATCAGAGAGACAGACTTCAAAGCTGAGCCAAATTTCTAATGATCGTATTTGGTTTGGCAAACTTAAGCGTGGTTAGCTTGTCAGGTTGGTTTTTCAAAACACATCATTTATTTAATCCTAACACGTTCCATATTCTTTTGTTGTAGGACAATTTGATTATCAGCACCATTTTCTTTAAAAGAAAAAAGATACCATTATACTATGCAATCCGTAATCAACAATAAATTACAAAACAATCCAACACACCTCACTTAAACAGCACTATTTTTCAGAGGTTGACTGTGTATGTAGACAGTGTTATTATTTTAGTTATTTACTGGATAACCAGAAATAGGCTAAGTATCTTACAAGAACAGGAACACACATAAATCACCAATTTCAAACCTGATTACCTGAAGTTAGGCTGAATTACACAGATGCTGTCCAACTGCAGGTTCCAATGAAGACAATGGGAGCTGCATTGCTCAGAGCCTTTGAAAATCAGGCCACTCACTTCTGAAAGTTTGAAATAAAATAATCAAAATACTTAGTATCCTACAGTAATTCATAACTAACAAACCCCTTCATGGCTTTTTTTTGTGTGCTGCTTGTATCTATAATGCTCTATAGATAGTGGCAATGCTCAAACAGGAAGACAGAGGGACGCGATGCGATGCTCTCATTTTTTCAACATGCATATGAAGAAGTGGGGGTTTGAAATAACTACATTTAGTCCCCTCAAATCAAAATACTGGTTGCTAAAAACAAAAGATGCAAAGTCACACACTGAAAGAGAACTAGAGGAAGGCTAAAATTTAGATCCCACATACAGAGATCTATCAAAATTAGAGTGAGCAGACATCCTGATAAAATCAAGATTGTCTCGATCTTGGAGGCATGTGACCCCTATTCTGATCAAATTAATGTTGGGACAACATTTGTCCTGATTTTTCACAGGGCTGATGAAACCCAACTCCCAGCTGTGTGGAACTCAATTCCTTCAACCGTGTACCACAGGACTCGTACTCCTTCAAGGAGCCCTACAGCATAGGGTACGCTCACATGCATATTCTATTTTAATTTTTGTTAAGTCTTGTATATGCAACTATCCCTCTTTTTCTCTGCTCCAGAACAAAAAATGTCCTGATCTATCACACTTGCAGTCTGGTCACCATAATCAGAATGTTCTGCTATGGGCTGCTGAAACCTGATGCACATCTGTGTAAACTTCGTCATAATCCTCTCCACTTGGTATTATGAATATGTGATAAAAATTTAAAATGCCTATATTTAAACACACACTTGATTTATTCATTTAGAATTTCCAAGAGGGGTTTTGGGGAGGGAGGAGTTTAAATGTATTTAAAATACAGTATTAAGGATTTTTCCCCCCAGAAATACTTCAAACAATGCAAACAGGTAGGAAAATGTATCTGAACATTTGTCTTTTCCAGAGTTAGATCACTCATTTCACACAGCAGTTCCAGGGGATTATCTACTTGGCAGCTTTCTATGGCGAGGGCAGATTCTGATCTCACTTAAACTGGCGTAAATCCAGCATAATTCCGTTTCAGCAGAGTTTATTCCAAATTGGCATTGGTGTAACAGACATGAGTCTGCCTGATCTTCATACGAACAGTTTCACTATGCAAAAGTTGTTCAGGGTAAAACTGTTTGACATACTTTAACTTCCAAGCCTCCCTGTCACAAGGTTGCTGACCCATTTAAGAGTGTCTAAGTGGATGATGAACTAATTAAAGGAGGCCATCTAAGAATTTAATTAAACAACAAGCACCCAAGTCTGATAAAAGTTTATACGAGCTCAGCTGCACAGAGGTGTTCAGAAAAGAGAGAGAAAGAGAGAGATCGTTCTCGTAAGAAAGGAAATCCTAGGGCTGTGCAACCCTCCAAGTGCAAAGGGAGAACCTTTATTGCACGGTTATTTTGGGATTTAGTAATAGAATTTCAGAGGGGGAATTCTGTCAAACACTTCTGGACTGTATGGCATTCTTAAGGGGCCCTGAGAGGAGAGAGACAGTGGAGGAAATTGCCAGGAGCACATTAATTCAGGAAAAGACGCTAAAGGGCAGCCATCCCCGTGGCAATCCTTATTCACCACTTTCTCCAACACTTAACACTAATGTTCCTGAGGTATCACTACCACAGAAGTTTTGAACAAGGAAAGGATTCCAGCTGATCAACTTGGTTATGGTTTTCTGTGCATGTGTACTGTGTACCCGCCTCAATGAATTATGTAAACATTTTATCATCAAGAATTGGGCCTACTTACTTATTACTCTTTCCTTCTACCCTCCATTTTTTATTCCCTTCCTCTCCCCCCATTTTAAAGCTCCTGAAAACATGTAGTACATTTTGGGCATGTCTACACAGCAGCGTTATTTCGGAAAATAACATAGTGCACGTCAGTACTACAAGCCATTATTTTGAAATAATGGCAAGATGGAGGACTTCTTACTTCGACTCGTGGTAGCCCTCATTTCACGAGGAGTAAGGGAAATTTATTTCCCAGGAGTTAACTTGCCATGTTTGTAAGCAGACTATAGTTACAGCTTTCTTTCTAGCTTTTTTCTCCATCATTTTAGCAATGAAACTGATCAAAGTTAACTGACTTTTCATTGGGCAATGATTCAGCAATGCTTTTGACACAGCCCCTTTGAAATGTATTATTTGACATGATAGATTACAGCTGCAGAGCGATAAACCACAGAGTCCAAAAGTATTTGAAAGATATTTGCACAATAGGTGTCAAGATGTCAAAATGTCAAATTGATTGCTATTTACAACAAAACTATCTGATACCCTGATAGTTCACGTGGATCTATACTGGTTTTTATATCTGAAATCTTCATAGCTCTTTATACAAGACAGTTAAATATATGCACTCAGATTACTATATACCAACCACAGAAATGGTCACTGGGAGTAGTTCAAAATGTTTTACAAGAATGCTTTGATGATATCAAGAGCAGTATTACTGGCCAGTAGCAAAACTATAATTATGTTAGCTGGATCTGAAATAAGGATTGAGTTGCAAAAATTCCTCTCTCATCTTTCTTCCAATCCAGAACTTTCCCAAAAGTACACTGTCCTCCATAAAGTTCAAAACCCATGCAAATGAGAGCATAGAACTGGAAATCAAAGTGCAGAGTCATTTTGGGTTTTTTGCAGCATACATTTCGCAGAAATGAAGAAATCATTGTAAACATTTACAAAAGTGCCATTATATTTGAAAAATCATGCAGTGTTCATGGCTGACTAATTAAGGACTGATACTATATCCCTTGAAATCAACAGGAATGTTGTCCCTTACTAGAATGAGCACAGGAGGCAGCCCAAAAGCTATCTAAATTGTACAAGCACAGTATTTAGTCACTTCATAAAAATGCACGTCCAACCTATCTTCAGAAGGTTCCCCACTGACCAGGACTCCCCAACTCAAAGCGGCACCAACACAAGATGCAAAACCTGTGGACATATCTCCACAGCTACATCGTTCAACATGTGTTGTACTTTATCTCGCAAATTAAATACTCTACTAGCAACTATGTGGGTGAAACCAATCACTATTCTCTCAAATGAACTCACACAGGAAAATGATAAAAGACAAAACCACTCCACATCACTTGTGGTTGAACAAAGTGATCATGCTGTCTGACTTACCTGCCCTCATCCTCAAAGAAAACCCGAGCAACACTTTCAAAAAACAAGCCTGGAATTTTAGATTTATAACTGCTAAATACTAAAATCATAGATTGAAGAGAGACACTGGATTTATGGCTTATTATAACAACCTATGACCCACTAACAATCCTTCCCAATTGTTTTTCCCCTTCCTGTCCTCACTATGATGCATGGGGTGTTAATAGGACACTTCAGCTTGAATGTGTGTTAATTACTTATGCAAAACAATGTATTCCATCTTGTATTTAGCTGTGACACTCTGAGATCCTCTCTCTCACTTCAGCAGTGGCTCTCAACCTTTCCAGACTATTGTACCCTTTCAGGAGTCTGATTTGTCTTGCTTACACCCAAGTTACACCTCACTTATAACATCAGAAATCAAATACACAAGTGTCGCAGCAATACACAAGTGTCTCTGAAAAATTGTTTACTTTCTTATTTTTACTATAATAACAATTGGAATACACTGTACCTACATTTCTGTGTACAGTATATATAACAGTATAAGTAAGTCATCGTACGCATGAAATTTTAGTTTTTAATTACAACACAAGTGCTTTTTATTCAGCCTGTTTTAAAAATTGGCAAATATCTAGATGAGTGATAAGCTGCTTAGAAGACTTCTGCGTACTTCCCGTAGAAAACATATCTCTGGCTGAAAAAACCACTGCACTCACTACAGGTTACTTCAATATAAAACTTACATTGCTCAGGAATGTGATTATGTATACATACCCCTGAGAAATGTAAATTATACTGATGCTTGTGCCAGTGAAGGCAGTGCCAATAGGAGAACTTGCTCATCAACATGGCTACCACTTGTCACAGAAGCAGGAGTTTTCTATCAGGTAGGTATAGCAAAAGTTTGTTACAGCGCTATATTCAGATGTATAGATAAAGGAAAGAGACGCTTTCTCCTTACTCTCCTCAGATATAATAGGAAAGAAGCAAAAGTATGTAG